TCACAGAGAGCTCCGAGACGGCCCAACACCCCCAATATGGCCCCTACACGGCCCCAGAGGCCGTCCAGACGGGCCGCGGCAAACGAAATGATTGATGTTTCGATGGTCTTTGAAAGATTTCCATCTTCTCGCCATTTCGAGCCAATACCGTTCCAAGACGGCTCTTGGGGCTCCCACGAACGCTCCAAGGCCGTACAAGAGGATCTGGAAAAGGTTCCATCATCACCCAGGAGGACTCCAAGATGGCCCAGGAAGCGCCCAAGATGGCCGAGGAGGCTCCAAGATGGCCCGAGAGCCACCCGAGACAGCCCCAAGACGGCCCACGAGGCGCCCCAGGCGGCCCCAAGAGGCCCCAAGAGGCCGAAAAGACCCCCACAGGGCCCCGAACGGCTTCCAGGAGGCCACCAGAAGAGACTCCAAAGTTGCTCTCAAGACACGGGCAGCGGACGAGAGGCGAGAAGCTCACCGTACGCCGAAAGGAGTTGTTTTCCACGCTCCGAGGGCCCTGGCAAACAGGAGCAACTCGCAGGACCTGCAAGCCTACATCCGAGCAAGCATCACGCAAACGGCAAGACGGTGCAGGCTAAACAAATCACGCGCGCACTGGCAATGAAACGGCAGCAAGAACAAGCGACAGCAGACACACGCTGAAATTATTGCTTTCGTAGGCAGAGTCTACGGATCATCCCTCGACACTTTGCAACCCTCTAAGATTAAATAAAGACGCCCCGGAAGGCTTCCAAGACGGCCTCAAGACGCCCCAAGCTGGCCCCAGGACGGCCCCAGTGATGCCCAGACGGCCTAAGAGAACCCCAAGAGAGCCCGAAGAGCGGACCAAGGGGCCGAAGATGGCCCCAAGACTGACCGAGAGGCGCCCGAGACAGCGCCAACTCAGCCCAAGAGACCCTCAAGAGGTGAACAGAAGCCCCCAGAGACTCTGGACGCTTGTGCTCATGGAAGCATCGTCGTTTAAACGACGATTGGCCCGAGGGAACATCGAGGGGGAGAAGGGTGGAGGGACGGAGAAAGAGGATGAGGATCCAGCAGCAGGGAACAGAAGCAGCGGCGAGCAGCAGCTGCAGCAGCAGCAGGCGTTGACATCACCAGTGCCAAGCAGCATCATGCAGCAAGCAGCAGCTGGCAGGCGGCACATATCCACCACCAGGCAAAAGCTAGCACATGCACCAGTCTGTAGCAAGCCGTTGCCGCAGGCGGCAGCAGAAGAAAGACCAAACGAAAGACCGCAAGTGGCAACAAGCAGCACTCAGCAACAGCAAGCGGCTGTAAAAGGCCGAGCAGGTGCAAACACGTTTGCCCAGACACCGCTCGCCACCTCGAGCAGATGTCGTGGACGTAGTCCACAGGTCAGCCCTAGTCTCTTCTCTATGGCAGACGGAAGCGCCGCGTGCGAAAAGGTCGTGCATTTTGCCTTCCTTGGAGGGCCAATTTTCGACACCCCTCACGCAGATCCTGGCCCCCGAGCATCACAAATCGAGCCCTCCCCCCAAAGACGCGCCGAAGTGGCCATCAGAGGCTCCAAGGAGCGTCCAAGAGGCCCCCTAAAGGCCCCCAACAAGGCCCACGAGGCCCCCTAGAGGACCCCACCGAGGCTCTAGAGGCCTCCAAGAGCCTCCAACAGTCCTCCGAAGCATGTCCCCAGAGGCCAAACAAATCCTGCATTTGTCCATGGTTTTTGAAGGAGTTTTGCCTGCTCACCTTCTCGGCTAGCCGACGCTCCAAGCCGGCCGCAGAGAACCACAAGACCGCCCCGGGATTGCCCCAGAGGCCACCAAGCGCGTCCCCAGACGGCCCAGGGAGCCCCAAGATGGCCCAAGAGGCGCCCGAGACGGCCCCAGAGGACCCCAAGCCAGGCCCAAGAGGGGGCCACAGAACGGGGAAAAACCCTGACACTCCGAGCCCTGGGCCCCCATACGCCCACACAAGGCCCCAAGGCCCCCCCAAGAGGCCGCCAAGAGCCTCCAACAGTACCCCGACGCATGCTCACAGACGCCAAAATCCTTCCTTTCTCCATGGTTTTGGAAGGAATTTTGCCTTCTCGTCTTCTCGGCTAGCCGACGCTCCACGACGGCCGGAGAGAACCACAAAACCGCCCCAGGACGGCCCAAGAGGCCTTCAAGCGCGCCCCCAGACGGCCCAGGGAGCCCCAAGATGGCCCAAGAGGCGCCCGAGACGGCCCCGGAGGACCCCAAGCCAGGCCCAAGAGGGGGCCACAGAACGGGGAAAAACCCTTACACTCCGAGTCCTGGGCCCCCATACGCCCACACAAGGCCCAGAGGACCTCAAGCCAGGCCCACGAGGGGGCCAAAGAACAGGGGAAAATCCTGACACTCCGAGCCCTGGGCCCCCATGCGCCCACACAAGGCCCCAAGACCCCCCCAAGAGGCCTCCAAGAGCCTCCAACAGTACTCCGAAGCATGCCCCCAGACGCCAATATCCTGAATTGTTCCATGGCTTTTGATGGAGTTTGCCTTCTCGCCTTCTCGGCTAGCCGACGGTCAAGACGGCCGAAGAGACCCACAAGACCGCCCCAGGACGGCCCACCAGCCCTCCAAGCGCGCCCCCAGACGGCCCAGGGAGCCCCAAGATGGCCCAAGAGGCGCCCAAGCCGGCCCCAGAGGACCTCAAGCCAGGCCCAAGAGGGGGCCAAAGAACCTGGAAAAACCCTGACATTCCGAGCCCTGCGCCCCCATACGCCCACACAAGGCCCCAAGACCCCCCCAAGAGGCCTCCAAGAGCATCCAACAGTACTCCGAAGCATGCCCCCAGAGGCCCAAATCCTTAATTTTTAAATGGTTGTTGAAGGAGTGTTGCCTTCTCGCCTTCTCGGCTAGCCGACGCTCCAAGACGGCCGAAGACACCCACAAGACCGCCCCAGGACGGCCCACCAGGCCTCCAAGCGCGCCCCCAGACGGCCCAGGGAGCCCCAAGATGGCCCAAGAGGCGCCCAAGCCGGCCCCAGAGGACCCCAAGCCAGGACCCCCAGGAGGGACCCACAAGACAAAAGTTGCCCCATTCGCTTTGGAAAACTTGCATGTTTGATATGCTCGCTCTTTTCGTCTTCACCTCGTCCGAGAGGGCTATACAGGCCTTCCCGATCACCCCAAGACGCCCCCAGAGCACCCCAGGAGGGCCCCCAAACTGTTACACAGGCCCTCCACCTCGCCCCAAGACGCGCCCAGAGGCCCCCAAAGGGCCCCACACGACCCCGACGGCCCAGGACGCACCCAAGACAGCCCCAAGAGCAGCCAAGAATGGCCAACGGGACGGCTCCGGGGGCGCCAAGACGGCCTCAGAGCACCCTTGGGAGCCCCAAGGCAGCCCCAGAGGCCCCCAAGGCAGGCCAGGAGGCTCCCAAGACGGCCCAGGAGAGCCTCCAGGAGAGCCCCAAGAGGCCCAAACCGTCCCATTCCCGACGGGAAGCGCACATGTTCAATATATATATATATATATATATATATATATTATATATGTATATAGCTTGTTTGTTCGTCCTCGCAGCGTCCAAGACGGCTATAGAGGCCCTCCAGCTCGCCCCAAGACGCGCCCAGACGCCCCCATGAGGGCGCCCAAAGGGCCACACACTGCCCCGGGACGGCTCCAGAGGCGCCCGAGACGGCCCAAGACGCACCCAAGACAGCCCCAAGAGCAGTTCATGATGGCCCAAGACGGCTCCACCGCCCCGTCTCCAAGACGGCTGTAGAGGCTCCCGCCGCCCCGTCTCCAAGCCTTTCCGTTTGGACAGTCTCCAAGACGGTCTCTGGGCCGTCCGGGATGGCTCCAGAGGCGCTCGAGACGGCTCAAGAAACACCAAAGACAGCCCCAGTAGCGCCCAAGATTGGCCCAATGTGGCCCCAAGATTGTCCCACGATGGTCCGAGAGGCGCCCAAGACGGCCCCACATCGCCCCAAGACGGCCCAAGATGCACTCAAGATTGTCAAAGAGGGCTCCGAGAGACCCACCTCCAGGAGGACGAAAAGAGGCCCCCAAGCGGCCCTCGAGAGGCCTTGGATGCTTCTCTCTTGGGGAGCGTCGAACTTCCAGCACCATTTTGGAGGCTTCTTGGACCCTCTGGGAGCCATCTTTGCGCTATTTGGAGACGTCTTGGGGAGGTGCGCTCGAAAAGCCGATTCGTGTCCTCGCACTGGGGCCCTTCTTAGGGAGTTCCGTCTCGCCGCCCTCTTGCGGGCCTCCTAGGCCGCGCCCACTGGCCCCATTGTCACCACACTGCCATATGAAATTATCATTCGGCCCCGGCGAAGAGCAGATAAATTTCTCACGGCTACCTTCCCCGCAGAAGCTATGATGAACACAAATTGCGGCGTCAGAAACAGCTTCTGTCCGCTTCCACTGACACCGCCTCCACCACCGCGTTCCTGCCTTCAGGCCTGCTTACCTGCATCCCTCGCCCACCTTCCCTCCAGCGGCCACCTCCTCCATCCACGCCGTCCCCTCCAACCTCCCCTTACCCGCGAGGCCCCAGAGACGCTCCACTTCCACGTCCACGCCAGGGCGGGCAAATTCCGCGGCCGGAGGCCGCGGGTCAGCCCTAGTTACCTACAGTGCTGGGATCAGCGCGTGCGAGAAAGGCGGGCAGTGGCAACGCGCCATGTCGTTGCTACGCGAGATGTGGGAGCTAAACGTTGAGCCGAACGTCGTCAGCTACAACGCTGGAATCAGTTCGTGCGAGAAATGCGGGCAGTGGCAGCGGGCGCTGTCTCTTCTCAGCAGGATGAGGGAGGAGAAGTTGCACCCCAACATCATCAGCTACAGCTCTGGCATCAGCGCTTGCGAGACTGGAGGGCAGTGGCAGCGGGCTCTTTCGCTGTTGGGCGAGATGAGGGACGTGAAAATGGAGCCCAGCGTCATCAGCTGCAGCGCTGGAATCAGCGCGTGCGAGAAAGGCATGCAGTGGCAGCGGGCTCTGTCGCTACTGAGCGAGATGCAGGAGGTGAAGCTGGAGCCCGAGGTCATCAGCTACAATGCTGGGATCAGCGCGTGCGAGAAATGCAGGCAATGGCAGTGGGCTCTTGCATTGCTCAGCCGCATGCGGGAGGCGAAGTTGGAGCCCAATGCAATCTCTCCTACATGGCGGAAGGAAACGCGTGCCAAACTTGCGGGGACGCATGTGCATAAACTCGCCCCTTTACGGCCTCACCACGTGGTCGAATCGCCCACGAGGGCCCAAGAGGCGCCCCAGAGCGGCTGCAAGACGGTCCGCGAGCGCTCCAAGACGGCCTCAGTTGGTGCCGAGACGGGCCTTGACGCTCCAAAGACCTCCGAAGGTGGCTGCAACACCGTCCAAGAGGTCCCAAAGACGTTCCGAGAGGGCCCCGAGAGGTCGCCAAAGAGGCAAACATCGCCACATTCCAATGGGAAAACGTACATGGATAGTTAGCAGATCCGCCATCTGCGTTGTTACACGGTCCAGGACACACCAACATGCCCCCCAAACCCTCCAAGACGTCCCAGGCGGCCCCCAAGAGGACCCCAAGACGGTCCAAGAGGGCCCACAAACTGCCTAAGGGGGCCTTCAAACGGCATGAGAGGGCCCCAAGACGGCTCCAAGACGGCTCCAAGACGGCCCGACGAGGCTCCCAAGAGGGCCCCAGGAAGCCTTCCAGAGAGCCACAAGACGGCCCAAGCCCTCCAAGGCGCCCCAAAGACCTCAGAAGGTGGATCCAAGACGGTCCAAGAGGCCCCAAAGATGCTTCGAGAGGGCCCCGACAGGACGCCAAATAGACAGACATGGTCACATCCCGATGGGAAAACGTACATTCTCATCATATCCGCCTTTTGTGTTGTTACACAGCCCAGGACAGACCAAGAGGCCCCCCCAAAACCCCCAAGACGACCCAAGCGGCCCCCAAAAGAGCCAAAGACGGCCCAAGGGTGCCCTCAAAATGCTTGAGACGGCCAGAAATACGGCCCCAAGAGGGCCCCAAGAGGGCCCGACGAGGTTCCCAAAAGGGCCCCAAGAAGCCCTCCAGCGAGCCACAAGACGGCCCAAGCCCTCCAAGGCGCCCCAAAGACTTCAGAAGGTGGCTCCAAGACGATCCAAGAGGCCCCAAAGACGCCCCGAGAGGGCCCCGACAGGACGCCAACAAGGCAAACATGGTCACATTCCTATGGGAACACGTACATGTTCAGCATATCCACTTGTTGCGTTGTTACACGGTCCAGGACTGGCCGAGAGGCCCCCCAAAAACCTTCAAGACGACCCCAACGGCCCCCAAGAGGGCCCCAAGACGGCCCAAGAGGGCCCACAAACGGCCCAGGGGGGTCTTCAAACGGCTTGAGAGGACCCCAAGACGACTCCAAGAGGGCTCCAAGACGGCCCGACGAGGCTCCCAAGATGGCCCCAGGAAGCCCTCCAGAGAGCTCCAAGACTGTCCAAGGCCTCCAAGACGCCCCGAGACGGCCCAAACGTGCCCCAAGACGTCCCAAAACGGCTACAGAACGGCCCAAAAGGGTCACTGAAGGGCCCCCAAACGTCCCCCACAAGGACCACTGAGAAGGCGCACAGACGCCAAATGAAAGAGCGATCGGTACAGCAAAAAGCTTGTCAATCCAAGGCTCCCAAGAGCGAACGGTGACACAGTAAGCTCTTCAACCCGAGGCTCCCGAGACCGAGCCGCAGCGAAACTGGAGCCCGAAGCTATCATCATCCTCTCAATTCTGGGACCAGTGCGTGGGCCAATCGCTTTCTCGGCCTCCAGCGGCGTCGGCACTGCCTCCAGGTTCCTGTGGGCTCTGGGTCCCCAAGACGTCGCAGAGACAGCCTTCGGTAATGTCCGAGATTGCCAGAATTGGCTCCGACAGCCGCCAGACAGGGCCCCCGAGAGATCTCAAGCGGTTCCAAGAAGCCTCCAAAAGGCCCCTAGACGCCCCAAGACGCCTTCCAGGAATTGTCTAGAAGACCATGGCAACTTCAAAGCTTTCCAACAACCAAAAGAAGATGTATGTCTTTTGCTTCGCAGGTTTTCCGACGCGAAACAGCTCCAAGACGGCTTCGGGGGACACTCTTGGCCTCCTTGCGGGCCACCTTGGGCCCTCTCTGGGGGCCCCCATCGAGCCTCCTGGGTTGTCTTCCGGGCCTCCTTGGGCCGTCTCGGTCCGTATTCGGGCCGGCATTAGGGCACTCTGGGCGGGCCTTCACTGCTTCAAGAGAGCCCGAGGGCGGCCCCAGAGGGCTCCCAGAATATCAAAAGAAGGCTTCGGAGAGCTTCCAGACGGCCCGACACGCCCTCCAGAGAGCACCACGACGGCCCAACAGACCCCCAGTGGACCCCGAGACGGCCCAGGACGGCCCCAAGAGGGCCCAACGAGGCCCCCAATAGTTTCGGCCACAGGGCCACCCAGCACGGCCTCCATATCCGGCAGCACACAAGCCAGTGCCAGCAGCGGCAGCAATTAGTAGCTAGCAGCAGAAAACAAGCAGCCGCTGCATTGCCCGCGGCCGGCTGGCGGTCATCCTCGCTGCCGTGGCGTACGGCAGAGGGTCAGTTGCAACCGCCAGGCATGCCAGCATGCTAGCAGTGACGTCGGCAAGACAATTGCCTGGCTAGCAGCTACGCGCGCAAAACAGCAGGCAAGCAGGCAAGCGATCTCAGCTTTTGCACGCGGGCAAGCTGTCGTGGACGTAAATCCACGGGTCAGCTCTAGTCATCTCTCCTACATGGCCGGTGGAAGCGCGTGCGAGAAGCCCAGGGCTTCCCAGACCGTCCAAGAGCGCTCCAAGACGGCCTCAGTGGGACCCGAGACGGCCCACGAGGGCCCGAAGCCTTCCGGGGGGGGGGGGGCTCCACGACGATCCAAGAGGCCGCAAAGACGCCCCAAGAGGGCCCCGAGCGCACGCCAAAGAGGCACACGTTGTCAAATTCCTATAGGAAAACATATATATTTTCAGCATGCCCGCCTTGTGTGCTCCTCAGCGGCCCAGGACACGCCAAGAGGCCTCCCAAATCGCCCCAAGAAGACGCCAGCAGCCCCTAAGAGGGCTCCAAGACGGCCCACAAGAGCCCCAAAACGACGCCAGGGAGCCCTGAAACGGCCTCTGAAGACGGCCCCAAGAGAGCTCCGAGGGGGCCCCAAGAGGCTCCCAAGACGGCCTCAGGCAACCTCAAGAGAGCTCCAAGACAGTCCAAGGCATCACGGACGCCCCGTGTCGGCCCCAAATGGCCCGAAGACGTCCCAAAACGCTCCCAGAACAGCCCAGAAAGCATCCAAGACAGCCTCAAGAGCTGCCCAAGACGGCCCAAGACGGCGCCAAGCGCGAGCCGTACCCCGGACACGCTTCGGGGCCGCATCCGGACCGCTGCCCTTCTGAGGGTGCGGGCGCCCGCCGTCACGCTTCACCCGGGCAGCTGGGAAGAACTCACTACAGCTTTCCGTGCGTACCCCGTCCACAGATCCTCGCCGCACTCAGAGCGCTGCTCTTCTCCGTGGGTGCGGGCGCGAGAGCGCGAAAGGTATGCGCGTATTGCGCGGAGCCGCGCCGTGGAGGCGCACCAGGGGGACCTGAAGGTCATGGGCGAAGTCCACGGGTTCGCCCTAGTCTCTACTACATTGCAGGGCCCAGTGCGTGCCAGAAGGGCGCAGGCTCCAATGAGTCAAAACCGCCCCGGGCTGGCCCCGGGCCGCCCCGGGCCGCCCAGGCAGGCTCCAGGACATGTCGAGAGGGCCCCCAGAAGCCCCCAAGACGGCCCCGGAGAGCCCCGGCACGCTTAAAGATGGGCCCAAGACGCCCGAGATTCGCCCCAGACGGCCCAAGAGGCGTCCAAGACGCCCGAAGAGGCCTCCCAAGAGGCCTCCCAAGAGGGCCCCGAGCGACAGAAATCGTCGATTTCTATTGTGTTTTTCTATGTTTTCGGCCTCCTCGCCTCTTCGGCTTCCCGACGCTCCAAGACGGCCCAAGAAGTCCCCCCGACCGCTCCAAGACGGCCGAAGAGGACCCCAAGAGAGCCCCAAGACGGGCCAGGAGGGCCCCAAGACGGTCCCAAGACGCCCCAGGACGGCCCCAGGACGGCCCAGGAGGCGCCCAAGACGGCCCAAGAGGCACCCAAGACGGCCCCAGGAGCGGCCCAAGACGGCCCAAGACAGCCCAAGAGGCGCCGAGGCGGGCCTCAGACGGCCCCAAGACGGCCCAAGAGGCACCCAAGACGGCCCGAGAGGGCCCTAAGAGCCCCCCCGGGAGGCCCAAAAGAAAGCCGAAGAGGCTCCGAAACGGCCCCCACGAAGCCTTCAGTGGCTTCAGAATTCCCTCCAGGAGCGGGGGAGCGGACGAGAGGCGACAGGCATATCGCAGGCAAAAACGCCCCAAGAGATCCCCAAACGGCCCCCACGAAGCCCTAAGTGGCCTCAGAATTGCTTCCAGGAGGGGGGGAGCGGACGAGAGGCGACCGGCATATCGAAGGCACAAAAGAACAATGTTGGACGCTCCGAGGGCCTTCGATGTTTCTCTGTTGGGGAGAGTCGTCGTAGGATCGACGATTGCCGACCGAGGGCATGGAGAATCCAGCGAAAGAGGAGAAGAAGGTGGAAGAGGAGGAGGAGGAGGAGGCGGAGGAGGAGGAGGAGGAGGGAGGAAGCAGCAGGACCTCCGAGCAGCAGCAGCAGCTGAGGAACACAGGAGAGCAGGAGGTCCTGGAGGGTGTGGAGAGCGCCTTCAACTGGCCATCGTGGTCAAGGACGCGAACTGCGTCGACACGTGCCTCACCGCACGCAGGCCTGCCCGCGGAGCGCTTTCTCTCCTCCACAGACGCCAGCGACCTTCGCCACGCAGTCACAATGTCGACAGTGTTCCTACGTTCGTTTTCAGTTCTTCGCCAAACTCTGAAGTGTCGGGCCCGGAAACAGTCACCGGAGGCTCCGAGGCGACCTTCTTCTGGGGGTCCTTCCTGTAGTCTCCTGAGGCATCTTCAAACCTCTGGGGCCGTCTCGGATGCGTCAGCGGCCGTCTCCAGAAAGGGCCTGGAGACAAGCTCCGAATCAGACATGTACACGCTTCGCATACCCCACCAGCCCAGCCACGAACAAGCGCCAGGTGAGTTGCCCTGATCAAGAATATGCGGCTTTCAGGACGATACCCGCAGCCAGTCGACCAATTCGAAGGCACGCAGCACAAGAGCAAGCGCCCCCACAAAATCCGGAAGAATGCGAGGGCGCCAAATGACTACATTTCCACACATACTCACACACCGTGCCCCACCAGCCCAGCCACAAACAATCCCCAGGCGAGTTGCCTCGATGAGGTATGCGCAGCGGCACGTTGTCCAGGAGTGATCTACACACGCAGGTCACTCAACGCTGGCGCGAGCGCGCAGCGTTGGGTGACCTGCGTCGGCAACGTCGCCCTGCGAGCGCCGCTCGTCGAGATGGCCGCCCGCGCACCCGAGCAGGCTCGCCGAGAGGCCCCCTCTGGAGGCTCCGAGGGAGAGCCGAGGAGGGCTCCACGCGAGGCCAGCCACATCGGGAGCAGGAGCATGACCATGATGTGATCCATGTTCGGCACAGCCACCGCGCACCGTGCAGCGCGTACATAGTGGACGCGATTGCGGGCAGGCTCGCGAGCGTGAGACGTCCAGTGCCATATTATGTTTGCGCTCGCTTGCGGGCGGAAGGCCGGTATATTTCAGCGCATGCGGCATTGCTTGTCTTTGCTTGCGTTGCGTCTGGCGCTGGCGGGCCAAGGCCCGTCTTTTTATGGTTTGCTTATGCTGCGCGCGTGTGCGGTTCTTGCTTGCTCTGTTTCAGGCGAAGACCCGTATACCTTGTGTTTTACACCCCGAGATCCGGCGTAGCGAAAGGATGGAAGCATCGTAACAAAATCACGCCCAGAGCCCTAGGCGCCATCTTTCCGCGCCATGGTTCGAGCCGGATCGACTTGCGCGGGCCCCGGGGCCCGACAAAGGGCGAAAACGCTCGGCTCGAACAGATCGGGACGCCAGGATCTCAGGGAAGGCCACGCCAGCGCGAAAAAGGAGAAGGAGGAGGAGGAGGAGGAGGGCGGAGGAGGAGGAGGAGGAGGAGGAGGAGGAGGAGATGAAAGAAGGAGGAGGCGGAGAAGGAGGAGGAAGAGGAGGAGGAGGAGGAGGAGATGAAAGAAGGAGGAGGCGGAGGAGGAGGAGGAGGAGGAGGAGGAGGAGGCGCTCTTAACGCGTAGCCGATCGCTGCGGCCCAGTGGTTCCGCCCGCCGCGGCCCCGCGCGTTCCCTGGGCGCCTCCCCTCGGTGGCGAGCGATTTGGCATCGTTCGGACGTGTGCGTTTTTCCTTCGGCGAGGACCATCGAGGAGCATCCTTGATCATTTGGAGAAGAAACCACGCACGAAACCGAAAAAAAAACACAGGGAATGGACGTCCGAGCGATGGCCAGAGGGGGGGAAGCGAGAGGGAGAAGGCCTCTTCGGACGGCTCGGAAGCCCCCCCCCCGCGTTCCTCGAGGCTGCCCAAGGCCTGCCCCGAAGGCACCGAAGGCTCCCCAAAAGGCCCAGAAGGCACCGAAGACCTCCTCCTCCTCCTCCTCCTCCTCCTCCTCCTCCTCCTCCTCCTCCTCCTCCTCCTCCTCCTCCTCCTCCTCCTCCTCCTCCGCCCGTCCGAGGCTCTTCCTCCCCTCATGCCCCCTGGCGCGTCTCGGCCTCGGCCTCGATGCTGATTATGATCCGCAGGTCACCCGCGAGACCACTCATCGCCTAGTCGTGCTAGGTTTTCACTTCTACCACAAGCTCAAAGCAGAGCATGAGGCCTCGCCCTCCCGTTGTGGCGACCTTGAGGCCCACCTGAGGCTCTTGCGTGCCACTAAGCTGGCCATCTGCGCCAGTCGATGACGTAACCATGCCCTCATGAGTTACGTGCGCTCCTCCTCCTCCTCCTCTGGCGCCATGACTTTTTCATGACGCCGACCCCCAGAGCAGGGCTGGACCTAAACGGTGTTTTTGGCGATTTGTGGGCCGGGTGGGCCGTTTTCGTTTCGACTTCGTTTTGAGGTAAAGGCGGATTCGAGACAAAGGCGAGGGAAAACGAAAACAAAAACAACGAAAAAAAAACACCGTTTAGGTTCAGCCCTGCCCCAGAGGTCTCGCCTCCCTCCCCGGGACCGCGCAGACCAGCGGCCACCTCTCGCTGCTTCGGTGCCTCGCGCGGCCCGAGCCGCCCTGCCGCGGGCTGCCCACGCGGGCAGGGCACATCGCGCACGGCCCTCGGAGCCACCCCCGGAGGCATCCCCAAAGTTCGGCCCCCCCCCCCCCCCCGACAGGGCCCCCAGGGGCAGGGCCGGGCAGAGTGCCTCAGGCAGGCCTCCCAGAGCGGCCCCAGGAGCGGCCCCAGGAGCTCGAAGAAGGGAAAACGGCGTGACCGTAAACCTTTGGCGCTCCGCGCGGATTTCTTCGATCCGCGATGGGACCCCCCAGCGGCGCTTCAGGCGCCGCCACTGGGGCGCTCCGCGCGCCAGGGAGGGCGGTCCAGCGCAGATGCACGAAATCTGCAAAGAGCGCCAAAAGTTTATGTTTATGCCGTTCTGTCTTTTCTAGGAGCGGCACGAGACGATCCCACACCCTCGCGCTTGCTGCGCCTCCTCGCGCCTTTGCTTTTCGAGGCTCCAGTCGGCCGTAGCCTGTGTGCCCGCAGCACTTTAGACGGCCCAGCAGTGCCGATCGAGGGCTCGCAAATCGGCCCCCAGAGGACCGCCCCCAAGAGGGTGCAGATCCGTCACCAGACAGCCCCAGAGGGCCAATATGGGCCCAATAGAGTTCAAGAGAGTTCCAGTACGGCCCCCAGGATCCAGCGGCATCAAGCAGCATACACGAGCAGCCAGCAGAAAACAGCAGCAGCGAGCAGCCACAGCAGCAGCAGGCATCAGCAACCAACAGCAGCAGGCGGTATGATCAAGCAGAGCAAGCAGGAGACGCAGCAGCACATGGCAGCGGCAGATAGCAGCAGCAGCAGCAGCAGCAGCAGCAGCAGCAGCAGCAGCAGCAGCAGCAGCCCCAGCAGCAGCAGCAGCAGCAGCCCCAGCAGCAGCAGCAGCAGCATCAGCAGCAGGCTGCAGCAATCGCCAACAGGCGGCAGCGAGCGGACGGGCGAGCACGGCAAGCAAACCCGTCGGGCATGCCACGAGCTGTCAGGCCAGCAGGGTGCCACCCATGCGAGCACGACAGTCATTCAGCAGGCAAGCGATCCTCACCCGTGGGGGGCCGCTTGCGAACCCTACCCCTACCCCCCACGATTTCCGAGGGGGAGGGTGGGGTTCACTTCGCTCGGGAGCTCTCGAAGTCAGTGAACCCCACCCTCACCCTCAGAAATCGTGGGGGGGCAGGGGTAGGTTTCGCAAGTGGCCGCCGCACCCCCCCGCGCTTGCCCAGAGACCCCTCGCCACGTCGAGCTGATGTCGTGGACGGAGTCCACAGGTCTGCCCTAGTCAGCTACAGCGCTGGGATCAGCGCGTGCGAGAAGGGCGAGCAGTGGCAGCGGGGTTTGGCGCTTCTCAGCGAGATGCGGGAGGCGAAGTTGGAGCCCAACGTCATGTTTACTAAATTGCAGGTCCCTGCGCGTGCAGGAGGGGTCCTGTAACCAGTAGGTTAAAATCGACTTGGCAGGCCCTGGCGCGCTCCGGGGCGCCTCCAGGGCGCTCGAAGGCGGCCCAAGAGGGCCCCAAGCAGGTGCACAGGCGCTCGAAGGCGGCCCAAGACCGCCCAAGAGTGGATCCAAGAAAGCCCCAGAGAGCTCCGAGATCGCCCCGCTGCTGGCCAAGATGGCCTCCCGACGGCCCCACCCGAGGGCCTACCAGCGCGCTCCGACTCGGCTCCCAGGGGACCCCCAGGAGAGCGTCTCGCACCAGGACCGTTGATGTTCCAAGCGTTTTTCTAACAGTTCTGTGCACTCGATTCTGCGGCCCGCGCGAAGGTCCTAGCTGGCTCCCCGGCATAGCCCCGCGAGAGCCCGCGTCGCCCCCAAGAAGGCCCCGGGATTGCCCAGCAGGGCTGCGGGACGGCCCGACGAGGCTCCAAGGCGGCCCACGAGGCCGAAGAGGCCCCCTGGACGGGCCCAATGCGGCCCAGGAGCGCACCAAGACGGCCCCAAGGCCCCCATCGGCCGTCCCAGGACTCCCGCTGGCTCCGAGGGCTGCCCAAATTGCTCCAGGAGGCTTGGGAGGGATCGATGGGATCCCAGGAAGCCCGAAGTCCTTGAGAAGGCACCACGAGACCCGCAGGAGGCCCCCGAGGTACATCCCGAGATGCCTCCCCTCATGCGGCCCCAACGGGCCCCCAAGACGTCCCTGGCCACCTTCGCCTTGTCCCTCAGCTCTCCATCCTCCCTTCTCGCCCCTCTCTCCTCGACCGTCGCTCCTCCCCTCTCGCTCCTCGCTGATCGCTCCTCGCTCCTCGCTCCCTCCCCCTTCCTCCTCGATCTCCCCGACCCTGACTCCTCGATCCCCTTCCGCAACAGGTCGCGCCCGCAAGCTGCTGCAGCAAAAAGCAGCGCCCCGTCAGCACCCAGCAGCACCGGCGAACGGCAGCAGCGCGCAGCACGAGGCAGCAGGCGGCGGCGGCAGCACACGGGCATCGCACGGCAGCAGCGCGAGCACCACGCAGCAGCGGGCAGCAGCTCCCAGAGGTCGCCCGCGGGGCGCGGAGGTCGCGCTTCGCGCGGCGAGGTCTGGTGCAGGACGGCTGCCCTTCTCCGCAAAGGTAGCGCGTGGGCGCGCAGGCGGGACGATAACCGCGCATCGCGGGACGTGATGCGCGAAGTTATCAGGAGAGGAAAAAACACACAGACACAATTAATCGTCGATTCCCCTGAAAATATGGGAAAATATGGGAAGTGGGGGGGAAGACAAAAACCTAGAAACTATTGGAAAATATGGGGAATAGTTTTACTTGTGTGTATTTATTTGTGTGCCCTGGGGCCCGTTCAAGTTAGGGGACCCAGAGCGCGCACCATGCAAACTGGTGGTCCGCAGCACCCTGCAGCCACCACCAGCAATAGCACGCAGCGGCGGCAAGCATCACCAACAGCTCACAGCAGCGGCAGAGAGCAGCGGCACGCAGGGGCATGCGTGAAGTGCGCGAAGTTCGAGCCATACGTGTATCCTTTCAGCCTTTCCGGCCCACCATCACATGCCAGCTCCGGCAGGTGTCGTGGACGTGCTCCGGGGGCCGGCCCTGCTCTGTACGTTCTGCTGGGGCCGGCCCGTGCGAGGTTGCGCCGCCGTAGTTCGCTCGGCCCGAGGCGAGGCGGCTCCCCCAGCGCTCATTTGGGCTGTCCTGGACGGCCCTGGACGGCCGCCAGAAGGCTCCAAGACGTCTAACGACGGCGCAGAGACGCTCTGGAGAGCGCCCGGAAGGCGCCAGAGAACCCGACGCGGGCCTCCAAATGGCTCAAGATTGCCCCAAGACACGCCAGGGGGCCTCCCACGACGGCCCAGGAGGACCCCGATGCCCGCCCCACAAGGCCAACAGTGTGCGCCTGTGTTCCTTAAGGTTTTCAGCGGCTTTTCGGGTTCGCCAGTCTCTTCCCCCAAGAACGGTCCCAAGCGGCCCCCAGCGCCTCCTACATCGCGCCAACGCTGCCCAAGATACTCCCAGGAGAGGCTCAGAGGCCTTCGATGGCCCAAAAGGCCCCCCAGATGACCTCATAGCGCCCGACGACGGCCCCAAAGCGCGCCAAGTTCCTTCCAATATGGCCCCAGTAAGGTGCCCACAGAGCCTTCAGAGCCCCACGGACGCCCCAACGCGATTCTACAAGAAGCTTCCCGGGCTGTCCCCCAGAGGAAGCTCTGGGGGACAGCTCGGGAACGGCCCCAGAGGCGTCCAAAATACAGCAAGAGGCCTCCGAGACGCCCCAGACAGGCTCGCAGGAGAACCCAACGTGCCCCCAGACAGGGCCCCAGAGGCACCTAAGCGCATCAACTTCGACGAGCTGTCCACCGACGGTGTGCGAGTTCTCGGTTCAGCATGCCGTGGAGTTCATCCACGTGTTCACACTAGTCATCAGCTACAACGCTGGGATCAGCGCGTGCGAGAAGGGCAGGCAGTGGCAGCGGGCTCTGTCGCTGCTCAGCGAGATGTGGGAGGTGAAGCTGGTGCCCAACATCATCAGCCTCAGCGCTGGGGTTCTGGCTTGTGAGAGGAGTGGACACGGGCAACAGGCGATTTTGATGCTCACCGAAACGCGGGATGCGAAGCTTGAGTCGTTCAGTGATCTACTCATTAATGCGATGCGCACGTGAATACTCAGCAGACCTAATTAAGTACTACAATGTTGGGACCGAGGTGTGCGACAAAGGCAAGAATATGGAGCAGGATTTGTGGCTGTTAAGTGAGATCGGGGAAGCGAAGATGGATCCCAATGTCCTCAACTACTTTGCTGGAGTCAGCGCGTGCGAGAGAGGCAGGACGTGGCAGCGCGCCCTGTCGCTGCTACGCGAGATGCGCGAGCCGAGCGTTAAGCCCAATGTCGTCAGCTACAACGCTGGAGTCAGAACATCCCAGAGAAGCGGGCAGTGGTAGCAGGCGTTCTCGCTGATCAGCGAGATGCGGGAGGCAAAATTAGAGCCCGACATCACCAAGTACGGCTCTGGGGCCAGCGCGTGCGAGACAAGCGGGCAGCGGCAGCAGGTCTTGTCGCTACTCAGGAAGAGATGTCTGGCCAAGTTTCAGCCATTGTAGGTGGGAGGAGATGCTGACGCCCGAGAGTATGAGCTATTAGCGCCAGGGCCACCCTGCAAGAAAAACTGGCAGTGCCAGCGGGTCTTGTGGCAGATCAGCAAGGTATGTGAGGCCACCGGCTTCTACTGCAGCGCTGCGGTCGTCACGTTCGGGAACGGCCAGCAGCAGCGGCAGCAGCAGCAGCAGCAGCAGCGCCAGTGCGTTACACCTCAGGACGGCAGAGACACGATAGCGGCGGCGGCGGCCCGTGGGGCTGCTCGGCAAGATGCGGGGGAAAGTGCTGGAGCCCAGCGTCGACAGCTGCTGCTCAAGGTCTGGCAATTGCGAGAGCGGCGAGCAGTTGCTGTGGACCCCTGCCGTCGGCGTGGGAGCTTCAAGAGACAGAGCGGGGACCCGATGTTGGGACCAGCCCGTGCGAGAGAGGCAGAAGGTGGCGGCGATCTGAGTATGGCCAACGGGGCGTGGGAGACCGGTGCCACCGACCTCGGCACAACCCAGCGGCACCACATGGAGGGCTGTTGAAAGAACCCAAAGCAAAAACAAGTCATTGTCGTCATCGTCACCATCGTCATCACCAGCAGCATCATCGTCATCGTGATCAGCATCATGGTCATCAGCACCGTCATCGTCGTCGTCGTCGTCGTCGTCGTCGTCGTCGTCGTCGCGTCGTCCTCGTCGTCGTCGTCGTCGACGTCGTCGTCGTCGTCATCACCGGGGGGGGGGAGAATTTCTGTTGCCGCTTGTCACACTTTCTGGGCTTTCGGGGGGGGGGGGCCTCCGACATGGGGCCGCCCCGGCGGCCTCCGACCCCCGGGCGTCCGCTCCAGAGGCGGGCGGCAGAGAGGAGAAAAGAAAACAAGTCCACGCGGCGTCCTCCTCCGCTCCTCCCCCCCCCCCCCCCTCCCCCTGCTCCCCCATCCTCCCGCCTGCTCCTCCGCCCCTCCTCCCCTTCTCCTCCCCCTCCTCCTCCCCTCCCTCCTCCTCTTAATTGCTCCTCCTCCCCCCCTCCACCCCCCTCCTCCTCCCCCTCCTCCCCCGCCTCCTCCTCGCCCTCCTCCCGCTCCTCCTCCCCCTCCCGCTCCCCCTCGTGCCTCTTGCCGAACTGCGCGCCAGGTTCCTCTGGCGGGGGGGGGGCGCTTGAGCAAAGCTCGGGCAATGATCCCAGGACGGCTGGGGCCACCGTCGTCTGGTTGGGGACAATTTTTTATCATCCTTGGGGGTTCCCCTCCTTCGAGAGTCTTAGCCATCTTTTCCCATGCGTAGACAAGAGTCAACTCAAGAGTCGGTTCAAGAGACAGCTCGTCGTGCACGGTTGGCCCAACTTCTGGACAGATGTTGCACCTGCTCTTCCCCAGACTCTGCACCGCAAGATACCTCCGAGCCTCATGAGGCGGCGGGAACAACGGAGTTGCACAGGGTGGCCGATGCAATGCTGGCTTAACCATACGTTCTTCGGGCACTGGGATGAGGGAGAAGACAGGCAGAGAGAGCAACGCAGCCGTCCTCGATTGTCCTGGGCCGGGACGTGCGCGGTGGCTGATTTGGCAGCCTGCTCCTGCGACATACCCCCTCCCGCCCTCCGTCTGGCCTCATGCTGCCGATCTTGCTTGCTTCCACCAAAGATGTGGATTGCCTCTGTCACTTGACGCATAGCGACTGCAAGCAGGTCCGACTGGATTGTACCAGCCAGCAGGTCGATCTGGGCGACATCCTCTGCCAGCAGCTTGGGCGGCCTGGCTCCCACCATCCGCACACGCGTCAGTTTATTGCTTGGCCAACCAATGAGCAGGGAAACGTTGGCCGCCTCAGTTTGCTCGGCTGGAAGACGCGACCGCAGTTTCTGGACAATGAGTGGTTTACCTAAGGCCACCTCCCAAACATTGATCCAGGGAAGCGCAGTCGTACCATGGGAACCTTAGGGCCTCTTGCGGTTACTATCAGCGACATTCTACGAATCTACTACCAGCAATGCTGGTCCGCTAGTGTGCCGAAGGGCTTCCGTGGCTCCTATCAATTCTGCTATGGATACTGATTGCGTCCAATACTGCACTAGTCCGTGCGCCAACGCTACGCGGTTCCTTGCAAAACCCCGTACGCAGTGCTTAATCCGAAAAGATTGGTGTCATTTGCCTCCTGATCCGCCTGATGCAACCAAGCGAAATTGACGCAAGGAGAAAACTGGGTTGCTGATCAAGTCTTCTCCTGGCACCATCCCCCCTTGATGGGACGGGCCGCGAAAGGATAAACCCATAGCAATGGGACAAGTCCTCGGAGCCAGAAACAGGGGGGGGGCCTGGCAGCCCTCCTCAGCATGGCCTGGCGAGCTCCATGTGCGGTCCCCTCCAGGGCCTCTTTCCCAGGGCACTCCCATACGTGGTGGAATAGCGCCTTCTGGGGTGGTCCACACCTGGGTCCAGCTGGGCTGCTTCATTCTGGCTCACAGGGGCGGCACCTGACCTCCTTCTGCTCTCCCTCTGGCTTTACCAAGGGGTCCTCAGGAGGCGCTGGCCAGCCCTTCTCTTCATTCCACCATCTCCTCGAACGAGAAGCCCTCCTCATCCTCCTTCTCCTCCTCCTCCGCCTCCTCCTCCGCCTCCTCCTGCTCCTCCTCCTCCTCCTCCCCCTCCTCCTCATCCTCCTCCTCCTAGTCCTCCTCCTCCTCCTGCTCCTCCTCCTGGCCCGTCGACTCAAAAACCTGCTCCGGGTGGCCGGGGGGCTCCCAGCCCTGGGCCTGGGAAGGGTCGGAGGACCCTTCGCAACTGCAGGGGCGATGGGCCTTGCTGCTCCTCCTCCTCCCCCGCATCCTCCTCCTTGCCTTCCTAATCCCCCTCCTCTCCCTCCTCCTCCTCCTCCTCCTCCTCCTCCTCCTTCTGCTCCTCCTCCTCCTCCTCCTCCTCCTCCTCCTCTTCCCTTTGCCCCCCTCCTCCTCCTCATCCTCCTCCTCCTCCTCCTCCTCACCCTCATCCTTGTTCCTTATTAGAATATACCCCCACCTACCTCGTATTCCGGCCGATAGCGGCCCAATCCGGGACCTCCCATCCGGACTTTAAAAAATCAATACAAAGTGGCCGTTTTTCTTCTCAACATCGTCTTTCTTGTCGTAGACGATGCGAAAAGCGTGGCAGGAATGGACCGCGGCGCGCATCGCGCGCGGCAGTCAATCTGGGCCCGCCCATCCTGACTGAAAAAAATCCATACAAAGTCTTCGTCTTTTCATCTCAGCATGGCCTGCCTTGTCGCCGACGGTGCGAAATATGTGGCAGCAGTGGGACGCGGCGCACATATGGGACGCGGCGCACATCGCGCGCGCGGCCGTCAATCCGGGCCCGCTCATCCTGATTGTAAAAAATCAATGCAAAGTCCCGTTTTTTCCTCTCAGATGGCCTCCCTTGTCGCCGACGGTGCGAAATATATGGCAGGAATGGGACGCGGCGCACATCGCGCGCGGACGTCCATGCGGGCTGCGGGCCCTCCCATCCTGACTGTGAAAAACAATACCGAGTTGCCGTTTGTCCTTTCATCATGGCCTGTCTTGTCGTCGACGATGCGAAATGCGTGGCAGGAATGGGGCAGGGCGCACAGCGCGCGCGGACTTCTGGGGCAACCCCAAGGCGGGAGGGGCCACCTTACTTGTCAGAAACAATGCCATGCTGATTTTCCCTGCCCACATAGCTGTTCTTGTCGTCCACCCCGCAAAAGTGCATGGCAAGAATTGGGCGCGGCACACCCCCCTCCCACCCCGCTCGAAGTGAATGAAATGACCTTCCCGCTTGGGCGCCGAGCGACATTTTCTCAAAGTTGCGCTCCCGCTTTGGCTCGGCGCACGTTTCTAGCTCGCCAATTCATTGGGCGCCAAGGCGTTCCAGGAGGCCCTGGGGTGACGAATGCCTGGGAGGTTTTTGCTTGTTCAGGCTCTTGGAGGGCCTCCTGAGGCTCCCCGCGGTTTCTTGGCGCTACGGCCGTCTGGAGGCCATCTTGGGCGCCTTGGAACGATCTTTCGGCGACTCAGGGCCCCTCGGATCGTCTCGGGGGCGTCTCGGCTCTCTTGGGGCGTTCCTGGGGCGCTCTGGGACCTGGAAGTCAGCGCCGAAGAAAACCATCGCTGTGACCGGCGCGCCCAGGACTTGCTCGGGGTTCTTTTCGTCCGGAGGCCCCCAGGGGCCGCCCCGCGCGCGCAAATTAAAAGATTGTTAACTAGTTACCGGAGGTCTTAGCACGCCTCTGGCCCGTGGGGCTGGCCCAGGACCTGCACATACGGGACGCGGCGCACATCGCGCGCGGGGAACGTCTAGCCGCCCACGATATAAGATAACGACGGGCGTCGGACGCGACGCGCTTGCTTCTTATGTTGTGGGAGGGCGGGTAGGAGTGGACGGAGCCCTCTCGCTCGTTCGAGCTGGCTAACTTGACCCTCACCCTCACCCTCACCCTCACCCTCCTCCTCATCATCATCACCACCATCAGCATCAGCATCAGCATCATCGTCATCATCAGCATCATGAGCATCATCAGCATCATCATCAGCAGCATCATCATCAGCAGCATCATCATCCTTCTCGTC